AATGTTTTCTTTCTTTTTTGATTGGTAGATCATCGGTCAAACTAATTGATTTTTTTACAGATTGCGCGGGAAAACGCGGCAGACAGCCTATTTAGCGTCGCAGCGAAGCGCTCGGAAAAGAACTTATTCTGGTTCTCCGTTCCGTTCGTATTTGGAGGCTGAATATTCACCTCCCGTGTTTTCATCGTGGTACTTTTTTTTCTGCTATCCCACTGTCTCTCTCTGAGCAGTTTCTTTTTCATTTACCTGCAATAAACTGTTGCTGTTGTCACATTTTGCGAACTATCGAGCACTAGTGGAACAGCGGGTAAGCACCGCTAGCGTACTTGAGTCTGTTCTTTTTTGTGACAGACCTTACTCCTTGGGGCCAAGCCGGTTTACTAGTGCCCTCGATCGATTGAACGTTCGTAGTTGCGATATCCCCTGTTTCCAGAAAGTAGATCTCATTATGGAAACGGGATTGAACCCTCTAAGAGAACCTGAAGTAGTGACGCAGGCAAGAACTGGGAAGGCCCTTGGCAGAAGCCCCGTCGTCTGCAAGCAATCATGGTCCCGGCGAATCTGGAACACCTCCTGAAATGGATACCAGACAGTGTCAAATGTGTGGTCTACGACAACAACAACCTGCCAACCCCTGAGGACAGGAGCGACCTCCTGCTGATAATTGGAAAGACATTCGCAGATAAGGAAAACGCACTCACCCTGATGCGACCGTGGCTGGAAAGCCTAAGGGGCCGAGACATTTGCCTTGCTATAGGCATCGCGCCGCGCGAGCACAACTCGGAGGAAAATATTCGCTGTGGGAACAGACAGCAAACAACATATCGGACATCGTCCAATCAACGACCAAATGGATGGATATCAAATGGCTCGGGAATGAGGCCCCACCTGCCCAATGGGACAATCCCATTCGCTGCCTAGGCAGCGACCCTTATGATGTCTTCGGCACCATTGGCCGTTTCAAAATAAGAATCTGGTATCAAAAAGTGAGAAAATATTGGGCACCATCGTGGCCAGAACCACTAACCGAAGCGAGAGGGTATGAAAACCCCATGTTTTCGAAGTCCACAAACAGGAAAAGAGCCAGCCACGAATGGACGCCAAGCGCGGAAGGTCGATGACACAAGCAGTCGATCGCCCTTTACCATGACCATAAGATCGTTCCTTTTTTTAAGATACTGCCTCCATCTGAGAAGCCTTTTTTGTGTTGTTTATCCGTAATAAA